ATTCGTACCTTATCCGAAGCCATTCTTCGTTTATTTTCCTAATATTTATTGCAATAAATAATATTGCCTCGATTTTGCCGCTTGCTGCTTGCTGTTCGTTCGGTTCAACTTCAACGAACTGCGGCAAAATGTATTTTGCGCCGGAAGTGCGTCATCTAGCTTACATAAAATTCTTAACCAATAGTAACGAATTGCTGCTGCAGCGTGCTGCGCATGAAAAAGCACCTTTTATACGTATACAAAATGCATATTTTTTAAAGATTTTTATATATTTTCCTAAGCATTACTGCCAGTAAAAAAAAGAAACGCTTGATATTTTTGTATTCCGTTTTCAGAAAATAATAAGAAATTATATATTTTTGATCTTGTGTTAATATCGGTATGTAAAAAATGTTGTATTTCTTACTAGGTTTATAGTACATACATTATAATATTATATCATATGATATAAACTTTTAATTAGTTTAATAACAAGGCAGTATGCAAGTGTAATATAAATAACTTAGTAAAATTATTTATTAAGCTATTATTTTATTAATAGAAAAATATTATTTCATAAGAAATTTTATGCAGTGTCATATAATAATACATTTTGTTAGAATACGATGGATATCTCACAATTCAGTTACCTAAATAATGCTGCTTTTAAAGAATGTTAAATAAATGCGTGTATGTGTGTGTGTGCGCGCGCGCACGTGTACACAACAATTCTATACATCAATGTTAAATGTTTAGAAGCAGAGAGTCAGAGACTATGAATGCATATCTACGGGTGCTTTCCAGCAAGGACAGAATCAGACACTGTGTAACACAGAGAATCATTTCATTCTCGTTTAACGTAGGCAAACAACAGGGATGCAATGATTCACTGTGTTACACAGTGTCTACTTGTGTCGTAGTTGGAAAGCAGCCTACATATATAGAATAAGAGCAGTTTCGTTATTGTATTATACAACGACAATAGGAATCAAGATCAGTACAGTAGCAAAGAAATAAGATATAGATGTGCCTTGGTGTTTTCTGTTTGAACAACTTTAATGTTGATAATAAAAGTATTCTGTTTGCTTCTTCAAAGCAACAAATGAATTAAATGCGTTAAAAGATCATGAACTCTTGCATTTTCTGATGTGCAAATATTTTTGTCATGAGAATATATATTTAAAAATAAAATTCAAAATATCTCTCTCTCTTATTCCAATACAGTTGTAAAATGTATTTTAATACTTTATATCTTTCCTGCTTCTGTAAAAAAAACAAAAATTCTATTTTTCTTTAGAATTATAAGACATTTATTTTGTATTTGGCAACATGGTACATTATTGTTTTGAATGATAACATTATGTCGACAATAACAAGACAATTGTTTATTAAATGGTTTGGTTCCCTTTTCTTAGTTTCCGTATAAAAGAATTACAATATAGTTTTATTATGTAATTATTTTATATTATAATATAGTGAAATCCCCCATATTACATGTACTTTCATGCAATATTAGACGTTACTCTAATACAGCATAATTTATATGGCTAATAGTTTGTTTACAGTTGCATGCATATATAACTGCAAATAATCTCTATCACAAACTTTATGCAGTATGGGAGCTTTGCATACATTAATTTTTTGTATGTACAAGTATAAAATTTATGTTAATAGTCTTTCCTGTATCTATATGAATTGTATACAAAAATAATTAATTAATGTGCAAGAAAGTTGCATTAATATAAATTAAACAGAATATCTATATTCCTTAAACAATATCTCTTTTATCTGTGATGTTATATTTCCTTAAATAATTAAAATGACTAAATTTTAGAATCAATTTTGTTCCAACCTGGACAAAAAGGTTTAGGAAAAAGTATATATGACCACAAACAACTTATGTACTTGTGAGCACTTGGCTTGAAATTAATATAATAGTTTTTCCAAGACCTTCCTAAAATACAGTTAACAATGTACATGTCACAATACATTCATTATGTCATCTCATTCTACAAAATTTTAAAGGTCAAATATATAAAAACTTATTTTATTAAATTCCATGAGGCTTCATTTCAAGAAGATACAATAATTCTTAAATAACAAAACTCCTGTATAAAAATCAAAAACTAACTTAGAAAGAAAAGGGCACTATAGGAGTCAAGCGCAAATAACTTCACGCAACGCTGATATACATCAAGCAAATCTATCTATTACAAACCATTAAGCTTACATGTTTCGGCTCATTTTTGAGCCTTCTTCAGAGACAATGAAAATTACATAAATAAATTATAATTTAAAAATAACAAAGGATAAAAAGATGTTTAATCATAGTGAGCTCCCTCACAACCGAGAAATAAATTCTGATGACAATTTCATCTTAAAGAACACAATCAAATGAATATTATAATAAAAGAAGAAAGGAAAGAAATAACTAAAAAGTTGAAATTCCGGGAAAATAATTTTCCAGAATTTCTTAGAAAAATAATTTCTAAATTAAATTTATCATAATTACAATTATTTTACCGGGAGTGAGAAGACTCACCATGTTCACAACGATATTTTGGTCACAGCATCCAGTTTCTCACAAGAGAGGTACGGTAATGGGATTGGTTGATAGAGTGATTTTACTTTCGAATCCTAAATTTCATTTTGACAATTTTTGTTTCATAATTTAGGTCTTATTGGAGAATGATTATCTATTACAATTTATATTTGATAATGTTAACAGCCGTTTGAAGAATATTATTATGGCTCGAAATAAAAGGAGAGTTGTTGATGATCATAGTCGGGATGTAGTACAACCATTATGGTTCACCGTGCCCGTCGTGTGTGTGTGCGTGCGTGCGTGCGTGTCGCGTGCGTGCGTGTCGCGTGTGTGCGTGTGTGTAAGGTATTACTGACAAGTTCACAGATTAAACAACAGTCATTTGAGGGTGTCTTATCACAGTAATAATAATTGCACGAATTTATTAGAGTGCATAAAGATCCTTTGCCGCGTGAAAAAAAGTCAGGAGTGGTTTATACAATTTCTTGTAAGAATTGCGATGCAAGTTATGTGGGGCAAACGTCTGACAACTAAAGTCGAGAATTGCCGAACATAAGAATCATATCAGATGGAATACGTCCACCCGCAGCGTCATAACACTCATAACGGAGCACCGGCTGCATGAGGATCATGAATTTGATTGGGATAACGTCAGAATATTGGATGATGAACCACACTATAGAAAAAGATTGATTTCGGAAATGATATCTATCAGGAGACAAGCACACGGACATGGAGGGACTTCCCAAGGTCTACTTCCCGATCATAGACAGGATATAAATAGCGTTGGTGTCTGTTACATCTGTCTCGCTTGTGCACAGTGCTGTATCTTAACATTTGATATTTGGGATTTGATAATTTAAGTTAATACTGTCAAACTGGTTGTTGTGACTGACTGTGTCTGAGACTGATTGACCTAAATTATTCTGAAGACCGGTTTTGAGATTGTTTGCGATACGGTATCGTTGTGAACATGATGAGTCTCCTCACTCCCGGTAAAATAATTGTAATTATGATAAATTTAATTTAGAAATCATTTTTCTAAGAAATTCTGGAAAATTATTTTCCCGGAATTTCAACTTTTTAGTTATTTCTTTCCTTTCTTCTTTTATTATAATATTCATTTAATTGTGTTCTTTAAGATGAAATTGTCATCAGAATTTATTTCTCGGTTGTGAGGGAGCTCACTATGATTAAACATCTTTTTAACCTATGTTATTTTTAAATTATAATTTATTTATGTAATTTTCATTGTCTCTGAAGAAGGCTCAAAAATGTAAGCTTAATTGTTTGTAATAGATTTGCTTGATGTATATCAGCGTTGCGTGAATTTATCTGCGCTTGACTCCTAGTGCCCTTTTCTTTCTAAGTTAGTTTTTAAGAAGATATAACTTTGGTAAAGGAGTTCTCTAATAAATACATATTTTTACTGACTATTGTAAAATCAAATAAATGTACATTGAGCCCAATCAATGATATTAACAATTAATCCAACAAAGCATTCTGTAAAATATTGAAATCATTACAAAACTTGCATACACATACACATATATCTCTCCTTTATCCTACAGTCTTATACACACATAAAAGAAAAGATTTACACTATTTTAAAACAAAGAAACCAAATGCAGTTTCATAGTACATTTAACTTAAATTTTGCACGCACGCAACACATACACGGTGTTTGAGAAATAATTAAAAGTTTTGTCGCATAGAGGTAGAATGGACTAAACTGAGAAGAAAAAAGTCCTCTACGATTTTACAATTTTTGATATAGTTAACCAGATATTAATTTATAAAACAAATAAATTAAAAAATAAAGGACTCTTTATGTAAAAATAATTAAGCAAAGATGAAAGGCGATTAGAGTCAAATCATAAAATGAAAATAATAAAGCGGTTATTAAATATGTAATACAAATTTCTTTTTAATTTATAAAAATATTCAAATTCACCCGGCCCACTGCCAAATGCAAGCGCGCGACTGGATATGATCGCCTAGTGAGGCGCATCGCGCGCGTTTGCCGTCGCTTGGTACACGTTGCTTATAACAAGCGATAATGGCCTGGTTTACATCGTGCACTTGATACGCGTACTAACTGGTTACTTTCTATTAAATTATCTTAATTTCAGCAATGTATTTAAAGAATGATGTATAAAATTGATACAATACGCATCAAAATGTTTAACATAAATACGTTTATTGTGTATACATTTACATATATCGCTGAAATTAAGATAATTCAATAGAAAGTAACTAGTTAGTACGCGTATCAAGTGCACGATGTAAACTAGGCCAATGGTCGTCGCTAGACAATGTCCATTGGGCCGGGCGAATTTGAATATTTTTATAAATTAATATCTCATTAACTATTGCGAAAATTGTAAAATGGTAGAGGACTTTTCTTCTCAGTTCAGTCCATTCTACCCCTATGCGACAAAACTTTTCATTACTTCTCAAACACCCTGTATATATGAGAAATCAATAAGCTGCAACTCTCAAAAACACACACAATACTTAAATCTTAACTTAGTAAAATCGTTTTCTACTATTTTCCTGATGCTTCTGATAAAGCATAATTACAATTACAATACAAGTTATTAAGAAAAGTGCACCAAATAACATCAGTAGGAAAAGTTTTATTCCACTCCAGTTAGATTGTTTCGGATCTTCTACACGTTCTAAAAACAGAAATAGACATTAGAATACTAAATAAATTTTTCCAAATGTACAATAAACTTTCATTTAACTTCATACCTCTTGGAGCATCATAGAATGCTGCTGATGGCAGAATTTGTGATCTATCTTCTCGATCTTTAGGCTGTAATTTGACATATTTTTTAATCCCGTTAATTTGTTAATTATAACTAAATAATTTATATTTTTATTGATTAACGTGATATATGCTTTATTGATTAACATGATATATGCTTTATATATTAATATCATATTTAACAAAATGTACAAAAAATAAATGAATGCTTACATCATCAATTAAGTCTAATTCAAATAAACGAATTGACAATATGTCATGATTGTCAGATAGATCACCCGTAGTAGCAGAAATTCCAATATAATATCCTGTTGGAAGCTTAACTTCATTCACTTGGAAACATTGTTTCCATGCAGCTTTATTGGCAAGATCCGTGGAAACTTCATTGTGTGACAAGAAAAAAAAACATAAGAAATATGAAGTTTATATGAGGACATATGTATATGTGTAATCCTAATAATGCACACATGTATGACTGTTTACACATAGTTGCACGTACCTATACGCGCACGTGAGCACAACACTTTCAAATAAAGAAAGATTAATAAAGATGAAACAAAAAAAGAAAATAAGAAACAAAGAATGGATGAGTCTAACGTAACAAAACAAAGGATAAACGATAAATAATAAAAAAAGATATTACAATTCAACAAACAATTTTATGACAAATTCATGATATAAAAGATGCAATAAAATTTAATATTTAATTTTACGTACCAGTTAGGATGTCTCTCTCGTATCTTATAGCTATATGTGTATCATGATCCAAGTTCCTGAATTTTGCTTCACATCCTGCTAGTTGTGTATGAGTGCCATCACGATCGTGATCATAATGCAAAGATCCATTGTTAACCATTGCTGAGATGTAAGGATGCTGATGCTGTTGCAGATATATTCTATTATTTATGTATTAAAAAAAAAATATACAATAAGGTAAAAAAAAGATAAATATATAAAAGAATCTTAACTTATATAAAAATTTAAGATACAATAAAAATGTAAATTATTTTAATTATAGTAATTAATTGGTTAATTAAGAATATTAAAGAATTATATTATCTTAATCGGTTATACAAACTATAATATTTTATAAAACTATGTTCAACCTACATTATGTTGGCCATTATGATTGCTGTATGTATCAAGTATCACTGCTAATCCTTGGAAATAATCTCGACTCCCAAATACTGGACCTGGCTTCATTCTTTCCTTAGCGTACCAAATAGCAAAACCATCTCCAAATAAATCCTTCCCCTTTCCATGTACTTTAAATTGAATTTGCAGTTCCCAATTTTGTATATGGCATGGCTATAAACAGGACAAGTTTAATAAACATTATATATATATATATATATATATATATATATATATATATATATATATATATATATATATATATATATAAAATTGAAGAGCAAACTTTCAAAATGCATTTTGTTCAAAATTTGTAATTTTAGAAAATGAGAAAAATAAAAACTGCACACATAAAAACACGCACGCACAAGAAAACTGTGCTCTACAGAAAATATGTCAATCGGTAGGATATGACATTAATGCCTAGTTCACACTGGATGCGATGAGCGATGAACGACGAGCGATATCCAATAAAAGCTTTGCTTTTGCTCACACGACGTTGTAAAGCAGAGTTCTTATTGGTTATCGCTCGTCGCGCATCGCTCATCGCGCCTAGTGTGAACTAGGCATAACAAAGTTGCTGTAAATAATTGTTAAACATGTTAAACAAATGCATTTTGTTTGTTTCTAGTTAAAAAATATAATGCACATACACTTTGAAGTGTCTATTTTTCAGTATATAAATTGATGAAAAAATGTTTTTTATACATCTCAGAGTAGCGTATAATATATGCAAGTCTTTCAACAATAAACATTAAGCTGTCTCTAATTAAAAAAATAAAATTTTGAATAAAACACATGTTTAAAAAGTCTGCTCCTCAATTATGCATATACTTATAGTTTTTATATTAAAGTTTATAAAAAGTCTTTATAAATATCTAAGAAATCATTCATAAGTATAAATAAAATACTTGCCACAGAATTCCATAAGGCACCTTGTTTACTTTGCAAATCAGATGTTAACCTGATATAATTGTTAGTTACCATTGTACTTCCCATAAAGTCCCAGTTAGGTATTGTCATACCTGTGCCTATTATATTACACATAATTTTAAAATAAAATTATAAATATATATTATATTTATATATATTATGTATAAATATACAAAAAAATATTTGATAAATGGACTCATTGTCAATACTATAAACAATTAATTTATATCACACAAAATAAAAAATACATTAGAAACATCGTGTTAAAATATGTTTGTGATAAGGCTCAATAAATTTAAAAATAATGGAAAAAAACAACTATAAGCCAAAAGGGTTGTTAAATATACAATTGTTAATAAATAAAAATTGTCATTTAGTTAAAATTACATAGTTTAATTAAAAACAAGAAATAGGCAACAAACCTTGACCTCTATTAGGTCATTACCAATGTTACAATAATCGCAAGTTGTTAACAATGTACGAAATTATAAAATTATAAAAAATATATATAAATATAAGTGTACACACAATTTCATTCGCATAGTTAACGTTGTATTTATTTTGGTACATTAGTGAGAATCCATAAAACAATGTAAATCGTCTGATTATAAATGTAGTGTGTGAAATTGTGTAATAATTGTTTCTGTTAAAAATACATTGGTAATGTAGAAAAATGTGAAAAGAGAGTCAAATAATAAAATAATGAATATAATGTAAAGAGAGTCAAATAGTAAGGTAATAAAAATAGATTATAAAATTAATATAATGTAAAAATAAAAATATAAAGAAGACTTTAGTAGAAAATTAAAGTTGAGTGAAAAACATATTATACATCATATTAATTTTTGTTAATTTAATATCAATTAAATTAAACAATGAATGAGATTACCTTATAAAATTGTATCAATGTACGATTTATAAAATTATCCGTTGTTAGAACAATACGATGAGAGACAAATTTAAGAACTTACACTTAAAAGTTTAGAAATTTGGAAAATATAACAGACATTTCAAGTAAGAAAGGTAACATTGGTAATTAGAGGGAAAAAAGGATCTGGAAAGGGTAGATATATGTGGTAAAGTGGAAAGAAATTAAGAGGGAGGAAGAGTTAAGAAGGAGAGAGAGAATTAATAATCTGTAAGTTTCTGGTAAATATTCAGTACCATTTTGCTTAAAACCTTGTTTTTGTCTTTTAATAATATGAATTATTTCAGACATCAATCTTGTTGTAGAAAGATTCAATGTCTAAAATTTTAAAGTCATTCCATCTAAAATTGTGGTCAAAATTAATATGATGATCTGTTATGATAGTGGATATCATGTTGAAACTTTCATTAACATATTTGCATGATTTATGCTATTTATTTCCAAATTCTAAATTCAGTGTTTATCATTATAACATAAACTCTCTCTCTTTTTTTCTCTAAATATTTTCAGTGTAAATTGCACAAAATTTTTTTTAAATTAGTGTTTATTAATTTTCAGAAAGAATTAATAATTTATAAAAATAAAAATTACGTTCTTTAAAAAAATAGCTCTTTGACTTATGCATGTTTACAAATCTTGTTTTAATATAAATACGTTGTAATATCGAACCGGTAGTGGAATGACTTGCGGATTGCGATTAGATAATAAATGAATTAGCAAATTCTTCTACGCTGATGTGCGACAGATTCTCTTAAGATATCTATAATTAAAAAAATGGGAGTTTGCACGTTTTTTACTAGAAAAAAAAATCGACTCTCTAATTTATATATATTTTCTAATTTTGCAACATAGCTAGGAAACACATAGGGATTCTTTCCGTCACTATCTATGCAAAAAATAAATTCTTCACATTAGTCATCTTATAACCTCAAACATAGTGGACAATCTCCGCAAAATTGCGACTAGACCAAGAAACGTGGTAGAAGATAAATGACAATTAGCGAACCTTGATATGGCCTGATTAGAGAATGCTCTCGTTTCATATAGTCTTGTGTGTTCCAATTCGTGGCGAAGGATTTTAGGACGCCTGTGAGTAGAAGCAACCACGAAATCACAACCATGTTGATTTTCGATCGGACGTTCCGCATGTTCGTAGAGAAATAAACACGTGGGTGAAAAGAGCTACAGTAGGTACAGTACGCTCGTTCGAAGCAACACCGCCAGAAAAAGGCCCAATAAAGCCATTTACGTATTCACTAAAGTAACCAACGTTTTCATTCTCAATCTCGAGTCATCCGGATCAGGAGTCAGGACCTCCAAACCATGGACAATGTCCATGCTCCAAACTAGCCAGTAGCCGTACCATTCTCTCTACACTGCATCGTTAGTAGCAGTAGCGCCTCTATAATATATTCTCCATGTAAATGAACTAAATGCATGGATGCATAAGTACGTGTCGGTAAAAAAAGTCGGTTTTTAGAGCTTGGTATTGATAATGAAACTTTTTCATTTTTCACTTTTCACATTGCGAATTTCACATGAAAATGTTTACTTGAAAAATGAAAAAGATTTATTACATTCTGCATGGTACACAATTCGTAATGTATTTATTAACACGTGGTTTAATTTGAAAAGATATACTGCTTAACGTTGATTTATGGGCCTTCTACAATAAGCCGTAAGTCACAAATCATAAGTCAAACTAGAAATGGACCAATCACAGTCGTCAATTTTTAGTTACTTACTTCCGATTTATGACTTATGGCTTATTGTAGAAAGCCCATTAGTTGTCTATAACATAAATATATTTCTCTATCGTAAATTTTTGCAATGTAAAGCCCATTCTACATTGGTCGTATCGTAACATCGTAAGCGTCGTGAGACTTCTGGGCCTTCTACAATAAGCCATAAGTCATAAATCGGAAGTAAGAAACTAAAAATTGACGACTGTGGCTGCTTTCGATCAAGGCTTTTAGGCGACACACATCGACACATGGACATAGAAATAAAGAGACAGTGCATAACGTTGCGGGGGGGAAGCCACTGCGGGACGATGCGACGAGGTAATACCACAGTATATACAGTAGCGCAACTCTCCTGATTTTGTGAAGCCTAAAATGAAGTGCGCATGCGTGGCCGAGGCGCGTAACCAATCAGGACACTGTATTCTATCTCACTTCTTCTTTCTATTGTCGGTGTCTGTCAGTCCCATTGAAATGTCCATATAAGGCATTTAAAGGACCATTTGACGGAAAGTGGCGGGAACGCGACGAATTTTATGTGAGAAACAGTGAGAATAGTGCTACGTGTGATAAAGTGATAAGTGATACGTGTTTAATTTTAATAATTATTCAGTGTATTCAGACGTGTTTAAGAAAGTGTAAAAAAACAGAGAACGTAGACCGAGTTAGCTTTACGGAGAATAGGTTATCTGTACAAAAATAGTACAGATTTCAGATTCTCTTGAAGCACTTTGATCTTAGCGTTCTGTTACAGATATTTAGAGAGATTTTAAAAGGCGAAAAAAATGTGTGCTCAAAAATCAAGCGGATGGTGTGTCGTAAAGGAATGTAATAAAAATATTGTGGAAAAACGACACTTTTTTCGGTTTCCAAAGGAACATGACAGGTACAACTTTTTATTTCATTTATTTTCTAAAACATATACGAATTTATTGTATATTATGCTATATATTAACATAT